TTTTTTTTTTTTTTTTTTTTTTCTTTAACGTTGGCAGATAATGCTTTTTACAAATGCACAGTTAGTTTTGATTGTGTTTTCTTTGGTCTTTAGTATTTTAAGGTTACTGTTGCATGAACAACATTTCCAAAGAAGTAACAATGCAGTAATATCCCATTTTGAAATGCTGACTGTTCAAAGAGAAGGTCAAAGACTTCAAGATTTCCTGCTCATGAAATTGCACTCTCATTAGGTTGGGAGGCTGAGGAAGGGAGGTCAAAAAAGCAAAGGATGAAGTGAAAAGAACGGCATTCAGCAATCTTAACTGGGAGGTTATGTGCACAGTAAAAGGATATAAAGCACTGAAAGTTGCAGGAAGAGGGGAATAAAGGAGTGGGGGAGATAGCCATGAAGTTATTTTATTCTATTATTGTTATGATTAAAAAGGTATCGTTAAATAAATAAATAACAAAGGAGAAATAGTGAAAGAAATAGACACCAGGGAAGAAGTAAACAGAATGAGCAGTTAAAATGACAGTCATGTTATGTGTCATGGGTACAGCCCAGTGAGGTTTAGAGGAAAAGAGGGAAAAACTCCTCAGACCAAACTGTTGCTGAGAAAGTTGGATGCCACGGACCGAAATGTTTTTCCCTGTGACTGTTTTTGCTGAAGTTAATTTTTGGCCAGCAGGCGGGGTACTTGCACTACTAATGTTTATCATGTCTTATGGTTGAAGATAGTGCTAAGAAAGGTGTGTGGGTTTTTTTTGGTTTTTTTTTTTTTTTGACTCTGTTTGAAATTAGAGGTTGTTCTTACATCTTCATTCACTTTTATTTGGGGAAAGATGTCATTATTCGGGGAAAGATGAATACAACTATAGCTGACATGTTGGGCAACATACAACAGAAAGGGGATGGTGGGATTAATTTGTCATAACAGCCTATTTGAAAAAAAACCCAAATGCTTGCTTTTTAAAAAATGCATTTTATAGAAATCAGGTGTTGAATTTAATACAGAAAGGTGAATATCTGGCAGAATTCCTGGTAGAAAACAACCAAGAACTTAATGAAAGTGTGACATACGTGTACTCGGGCCATCAAAATTAGGGACAAATGCTGCTGTTCTGCAAATATTTTTTCTTTACTTTGAAAGTTTGCTAATTACATTTTCTTTTCAACATGGAGATGTTCAATTTTACATTGAGACATCTGTATCTGAAGCATAATGAAGCCTTAATTTTTACTATTTAGATTTAAGAAACAATACTGTTATTTGTGGAATCCAGCACCTTGCTGGCCTTCCATTGTGCCAGAGAGATCGTGGATCTTGTAGTACTGTTTGCTGTTTTTAGATCAGAGGATGACAGATTCTGAGGTGTTTGGAAGATGGGGCAAAGTCATAAAGCCTGTGTTATATGGAACAGCAAAAAAAAAAAAAAAAGCACCCAAAAAATCTCACCAGGAGCAAAGCTACAAATGCATGCTTTGAAATTTGACAACTACCATTAGTGATTCAAGGTATATGCTTGTGGTATTTGGATTATTCCAGAATTTCTGTTGTGTATTTGTAATGTATTTATAGTTATTTGATGCTTTTGAACACAGATCAAATGTTTATGAATAAGGAAATAACCTAGGAGAACGAGTGTCCTGTACACTGTATAGAGCTTTATAGAAAATAAATTTAAGATAGTTGAATGTTTTATGGAAATATTATTCTGTGCTGCATGCATTTTAATTGCTGTTACATTTAATTATGGTGCTTTGTAGAAGGACAACGTAAGTGACTCAAGAAAAAGCATTGCACTAAGGAATAGATTCTAAGGATCATTATTTATGTTAAGATTATAAACATTATTAGATACATGTCCAAGTTGCTGTCTTTTTGTTGCTATAAGGTCATCTGGACTTGAGTGAAAATTAATATCCCTGAAAGAGTTTGTAATGTCTCACTAGCTGCAGTTGTTAAACTGATTCATGAATGAATTATGAACACCTAAGAGTGATGACTGTTTAGGAAGTTTAGTTGAGATGTTATTTTTTTTATTATGTTATTTAAAGAGAGCTGTCTTCTTGTGAGTTAGCGCGATTGTAATACCAGCTTAGACTATGAATGACGAGCCTGTGAAAGAGTTGCAGAGTTGCAAAAAGTTGCAGTTTATGTCAGGAAGGGGAAGAAAGAGAGATCTTTTGTTTCTGATATAATAACTTTATTGACATTTTATTAGCTTACCCGGAAATTGTACCTGTGAGTAAATTGAAGAGTGCTAATAGCCTACTTCTGTACAGTCTCTATTCTGGTGAACTACTCTTAGGCCTTCCATTTCTGTGCTACTCCCAACTGTTGTTTAAATCAAACCACTAATCACTGAGGCCATCATTTAAGTTATGTCCTTGTTGTATGAGATACATGGAGCTCACTAACTTCTTCTGTTGTGTTTTTTTTTTTTCCTTTTCATGAATTTAAAATAGTATTTGTATGGACAGATGGGGAATACATAGGAATCCCCTACATGGACTGATCTAGCACCCAGGGGGAAATAATATTTCTAGTTTCGAAAGAAGTCCAAATAAAAGTGACTGATTTGACATTTATAATGGGTCATAAACCACATCTGACTTCACTGCTGTCAATGGAATCAGCTATTCAGTAGGGAAAAGCCAAGGTTTGCAAGAAGCATGTATAAGTATTATCTTCTCTCTCTTTCACCACTCTTTTTCAGCTCCTGTCCTGATGATACCACTTTGCTTCTCTTAGTTTTGTTCTTCCTGATAAGACACTTCCTAATGCATATCTTCTCCCATGTCTAAGCTGTGGGGAGCATATTTGATTAGTAATATAGAGTGAGTGATTCAGTGGAGTTTGTAGGCTAATGTTTTTTTTGCTGAATTGTAGGTGCATCTCTAATCCTTTGACAGAGCAGCTAACTTGATTTTAAAGCACCACCTTCACATTATATATAGAGTTTGGATTTGACCATGAAGGGAGCTGGGCATGGCATCTGAGTTGTAACTTAACCTACGGCTGCAAGAGAGTATCAGGGCTTAAGCAATCCAAGAGTGTCTGGAATGCAGCAGTGACAACTTCCTGGCCGAAGTGGTCTGCGGGACCCTGTACTCACAAACAAGGAAGGACTTGTGGATGTGAAGGTTGAAGGCAGCCTTGCCTGTAACGACCATGAGATGGTGGGGTTCAGGACCTTAAGAGGAGGTGTCAAGACAGAAAGCAGGACTGTAACCCAGGCTTTCAGAATAGCAGACTTTGACCTCTTCAGTGGTCTGCTTAGAAGAGAGACCTCATTGCCCTCTACAACTACCTGAAAGGAGGTTGCAGAGAGTTGGGGGTTGGCCTCTTCTCCCAGGGGAATAATGACCAGAGCAGAGAAAATGGTCTGAAGTTGTGGCAGGGGAGGTTTAGATTAGATATTAGGAAGAATTACTTTACTGAGAGAGTGGTCAGGCACTGGAACAGCCTGCCCAGGGAGGTGGTGGAGTCGCCATCCCTGGAGGTATTTAAGAAACATGTAGATGTGGCTCTTCAGGGCGTGCTCTAGTGCCCGAGATTATTGGGGTGTGGTGGGGTGTTGTATGTGGTGCTGTTGATGTGGGGCTTGGTTGGTGGGTGTTGTGTGGTGTGGTGTTTGTTTTTTGGTGTTTTTGTTTTTGTTTTTTTTTGCTGTGTGGTTGGACTCGATGATCTCAGAGGTCCCTTCCAACCACCGAGATTCTGTGATTCCCATGGGATAATGCACTGGAGGGAGGAAAGGCCCAGGAAAGCTGGTTGGTATTCACCTCCTCTAAGCTCAAGAGCAGGAAGTCAAGCAGAAATTCCAGGGGCCTGCGTGGATGAGCAAGGAGCTTCTGGCAAAACTCCTTGTCAGAGTTAAAACAGGATGTGCTCAGGAGGTAGGAGAAGGGATGTGTAATCTTGGAAGAATATAGAGACACTGTCCAGTTTTGCAGAAATGCAATTGAGAACATCCAAGCCTACCTGGAATTGAATCTGAGAATTGTTGAAGGCAAAAAGAACAACTTCTGTAGGTGTACCCTAGGGGTCAATACTGGGTCCAGTCCTGTTTAATATCTTCATTAATGATTTGGATGATGAGGCAGAGTTTGCAGATGATACAAAACTGGGAGGATTGGCTGACACACTAGTGCGTCATGCTGCCATCCAGAATGGCAAGGAACAATCCTGGGTATATGGAGTATCTGCTGGGGGCTGGTGGCTGGAAAGCAGCTTTCTGGAAAAGACCTTTGGGAGTCCTGGAGGACACCAAGTTGAACATGAGCCACCAATGTCCCTGCACAGCAAAGGTGGCTAATGGTGTCCTGGGCTGCATTAGGTTGAATGTTGCCAGCAGGTCGAAGGAGATGATCCTTCCCTTTTCTTTAGTACTGCTGAGGCTACACCTGAAGTGTTGTGCCCAGTTCTGGCCTCTCCATCTCTCCCCAGAGGTACAGAGCTACTGGAGAGTGTTAAGCAAAAGGCCACTAAGATGATGAGGGGACTGGGGCACCTGTCATATGAGGGAAGACAGAGAGCTGGCATGGTTCAGGCTAAGGAAGAATCTTAGCAATGTATATAAGTACCTGCAGGGAGGGTGCAACGAGTATGGACCTGTGCTTTTGTCAGCAGTGCCCAGTGATAGGACCAGAAGCAATGGGCGCAAACTGAAACATAGGAGATTCCTTCTAACATCAAGAAGCACTTTTCCACTGTGAGGGTGACTGATCCCTGCCACAGGTTGCCCAGAGAGGTTGTAGATTTTTCCATTCTTGCTGACATAGTCCTACAGATTGTCTTATGCAGACTGACTATATAAGTATATAACTCGTATGTAATTCTTTACAATATGTACAGGATGTTAATGGGTAGCTTAATGAAGGGGCACGGCCTCATCATTTTTTGTAGAAAGTTTGGCATGTTTTAGCACATGATTATGTGAGATGTCCTTTCTCTGTGATTTCATAGTTGAGGTCAGTGTGAGCAGTCTTTCATTTACGTGTTAGGTTCTAGTGTTTGCCTCCAAAGAGAATCTTCTTGCTTCAAAAGGGTGCTGCAAAGCAATAGTCATATCCAAAAAGATACCGAGAAGGAAAAACAGGTCAAGTCGGGGAGACTGTTTGTATTTCCTAATCTGTGTGTTTATGGTGCAGAGATTCTGTTCGTAGCATTTTCTCTGTCTGTATTTTATGCACTTTGAAGAAGCAATAAACCCTGGCAGGTTTTTTATTGTATTCATTGGTGTGAGTGAGTGGGTGTGTGGAGAGAGGAGTGGGTGACCAAGCACAAATTTTTCTCTGTTTTTCTTACTCCTTTTCACTCTGTCACTTAATTAGTTTTTTTTTTTTTTTTACTCTTCTTTATTATTTGAGCTGTTACAGTCATAGGGGATTTTTAATCCTAATTGTGGAACAGATATCTTGTTTGCCAGGTTAATATTGAAATGAATCCATGAGATAATCACAGGAAAAATTAAACACTGAAAGAGGATTGTGTGTATTTAAGTATACATACAGAAACTGTGTTCATAAAAATAGAATACATCACACTGTTGACTGATTTTTTTTTTTTTAAGTGTAAAGGATAGTATCGTGTCAGTATTGAAAGTAAAAAAATAAGAAATGAATAACAAATAATTGCATGTGGAGCTCATTTTATTCTTCTCTGCAAAGAGGCCACTGCTTACAACCTTGAGCTTCACTTTTTACCAATATATGGAAGCTCCCTTTAATTTGTGTCTTTGAGAAAAGAATGGGTCAGCTCCTTCTAAACTGTGCAAGTGTTCAGATATTTGAGACCTGCTTCTCAAGTGTCCCATTTTATCTCAACCTTGCATTAAAAGCTGGTTCAGAGGCTGTTAAAAGAGTCATAAAAACTTTTGATAGTAATTTACAGTAAGTTTTAATCATCTACAAAATTAGTGACAATTGGAATAGTGGTCTTTTATATAAAGTATGATGTACCTTACAATATTTCTGTGAAGGTAAGTCTAATGTGCATAGCAATGATCATAGATGGCAAGATGTTTCAAGACTGTATTTCTTTGCTATAGTAAAAAAAGGAAAATGTGTTATTTTTCAGCTTTTTTCCTGATGTTGGATTGTATGGTACACTTGTCAGAGATGACAGGTATTGTTTAAAGAATTTGCCATCAAAAATGTGGATAAATTGGAAAAACTTTCTTTACACATTCCCTTGAAATTGTTACAGTGTTCTGAGATTATTGTGATATTGTGACCAGAATAAATATTAGATGATATTTTGAAGGAAGCTTTTTCTCCCAGGATTGTTCTCCGTGGGAGGATTTGGTTGGTTTTAGGGTCAAACCACTAGCAGTTTGCTCAGTGACTGGTTGTGACTTGATTTAACAGAGGGTGAAAAGATGAGATTTGGTGTTTAAAAAAAAAAAAAGACAATTTATTCTTTTAACTATCACTTAATCCTTTCTAAGAGAAAAGTAATATTTCAGGTTGTTATGGTTGCTAAATCGAATGGTTGCAAAAAGGTAAATGGATGAATGAATTGGTAAAAACCCACAAGGTACTGTTAAGTAGAAGGCTAAAAACTGTGTCTTGAGAAAACTTCAATTTGAAAATTGCCTCAGGCTGAAAGGGTATTCTGAGGAAGTACTGCTTTTCCTGCATTGTTTCTTGTCTGCTTTTGGCCACTGTCTGAAAGCGTGTACTGCCTAAATTAACAGCTGATTTTCATCTGGTGTATTTACTGTTGTCTTCTAATCCTATATGTATCTCTGTGCCTACGTGGTTGAGTCACTGCTCTTATTTTGCTGTATTAAGTTTTTCTGAATTGACTGTGCACAAATTTTGACTGTGAAAATTTTATGTGACATATCTGTAAATTAATTTGAGGAATAATTAAATTAAAAAATAAAAAAGAATAAATTTTCTATTTTACAGATCTACTACCTTGCTGATGATTATGATTTTTAGATTTTAAAGGTGCAAATTTTGCCAGCATCTACTATTTGTGTTCATATTGATGTTTAGGTTTTTTCCTTGATAACAGTTATCATATTAATTCTTTTTTTTTTTTTTTTTTTTAATTTCAGTTGCCTTTATGGCACACAAATGTATCAAAGCCAAAGCTTCCATTTTAAAAAAGGAACATAAATTGCTGTCTGGAATGAACTCATTCTGTAAAAGTAGTTTACTCCTTTGTATAAGTCCCAGGTAACTTACAGGTGGTTTTTTTGACTAAATAGTCATAGCAGGCAGTCAAAAGTGCTTATTCAATGAGAAGTGTGAACTTCATACAGAATTTACCATCTTGTATATCAATTTTAGTTGCTGCATATGTAACATTCTTGACATAAAATCTCGAAAAACAAGTAAGTAAAAACTAAGAGTATTAAATGTTCATTGCTACTTGCTTTAACTTGTATTCTTACTTCACCACCTGCCCAACTATTGAGAGACACCATGTTTCTTAGTCTTAATGAGCTGCATCAGGACTGCAGTATTCCATCAGTTTGTTCCCTAAATTTAAGTATAATTACCAAAACTGTGCGGAGTTCCATGATGAGTGATGCAGAGCAGGTCATGCTTAAGGGCATGTTTAGAGGCTCTCATCCCAATAAAGAAACTTGCCTGAATTGAGTTTGTAATAGTTTTGATTATATTTCTTGTTTTTCTGACTGCTTGAGCACCAGCTAATGTCTTCCCTGGAGGTGGTAATAATTGCTGTTATAATGAAGCCTGATCTCTTTCTTTTCAGTTTTGTAGCTTTGATCTTGCTTATCCTGACTCATATGCTGTATTACCTGAAATTAGAATTGCACTTTGTGGATGAATCTGAAATACAACAAAAACTAAATGCTTGGCTTTCTGAATGGCTTTTAACATACAAATGTTGTAGGCAGTAATATAAGGAAGCACCTGAAATCTCATGAATTATATGAAAATGCTTCATGAAATCTCATGAAGCAATAGATTTCTTCTGTGATATATTTCTTATGCAGTGTACCATTATGGTTAGAAATACAACTGAAGTGATGTAATGGTTTTAGTTTTTATGCTTTTCAGAGAAATGGTAACTTTATGTAAATTAAATTTTAAAATAATTTTTCATACTATTTAGTATTACTTTGTGAGTAATTAAAAGCATAGATAGGTCCAGTGAAACTTAGCATCTTCCAGCTATCAATACATAAAAGATTTTATCTGCAGCTAGTATTTCTATTGTGTATGTGTTTCAATCCATGTTAGATTTGTTGTATTAATTGTTAAGCAGATACAAATTTCCTTATGTTCTCTGCTCTGACTGTCTCAGGCTTAGAAGCAGATTGAACTCTTTCTAAAATTGAGAGAATTTTTCGTCGGGTAACTTCCACTGTATTCTAAAGCGTTTACAATCTTTTGAAGGGCTAGATCAGATGTGTATCTTTTGACTGAGACTATTACATAAAATTGCATTAGCTTATAAATTAATTAATGTATCTTTATGTGTCTTTTTCAGGGTGTTGAGGAATGGAATATTGCCCATCTTAATACAATATTGGATGTTGTAGGAGAAGACTGTGGAATTTCTATTGAAGGTGTAAATACACCGTATTTATATTTTGGCATGTGGAAAACAACATTTGCATGGCACACTGAAGACATGGATCTCTACAGTATTAATTATCTCCATTTTGGGGAGCCAAAGTCATGGCAAGTATAAATTTTTATGAAATATGATTTAATTTATCTGTTTGTTTCAGCTGGTTTACCAAATAGATGGGTTACAATTGCTTCACAATGATAAGCCTTACTTAAAAGCTAAGATAGTAGTTTGATATTTTTTTTGTTTAAGCTGAGAATGCTATGAAATAAGCAAAATTTCTGATGTAAATAATATTGCAGTAGTGCATTCTTTTATTTTAAAGGAAAAGACTGATAAGTACATAAGGCTTGTTTGAGCTCAACAGAAAAAGATTGTAATGGTTCCATATGAGAAGTTTAATGAGTTTGGAACCGCAGGAATATTTGAAGGAACTTCTGTAAGGCCTCTTTGAAATAATTTTCTTTGGTTCAGTTGTCCTTTGGGACTGTCTAACGTGTTTTGTATTAAACATGTATTTAATTTCTTTTTTGAATAAGAGTAATATTCTTTGCTGTTGACTCAGTCGTTCCAGTAGGAGAAAAGATTCAGTGTTAAAGGTACTTACTAAATAGGAAGCTTCTGCTGTGCTTCCTCCATAATAGATTTTTGACTGAACAGCCTTAATAGAGAGACAAGTAAGTTTAATGTTATACATATAGATTGTGGTATACGTGTATCTTAAAGTAGATGAAAAGAATGTTTTGCTTTTTATCCTAAAACGTTGGGTGTTTTTTTTCAACATATCTGTGAAGACAATATAAATTATTTGAAAGATACATAAAAGATGCATTGTGCTTAGTTTTGTTCTGGCAGTTTCTAGTTATCCAAACTTAGACTGACAATTTTGTAGCTGGTAGTTCCATGAAACATTATTGGTTATTTTTATATCCATGCAAAAGATAAAGATCAATGCAATGTCATGTATTTAAGCTGAGAAGGTGATAAATTGGTCAGCTGCTGGTTCCTAGGTTATTGCTTTATGTTTACCTGCTTTTCTTCTGTGGTGGATCTCTTGGGTTTAGATAAAGAAGGTAAACACTACCTATTGCAGTAATGCAAATCTATGTCTTGAATTGATTAAGGGGTGTAAATGGGTGTAAAGATAGGTAATTCCAAAATGTTGTAAGATGATATGACAAATTTAACTAAAACAATGAATGTATAAAATTATTTTAGCTTCTTAGGAATTTTAAAAGTGCTATTTAAAGAAAACCTCACTGCATATTGTAAAATTCCAAGTAGAAGAGACATTTACTTAAACCCTGAAGACCTTAGACACAATGACTAGAAGCTAAGAAAACTTTCTTGAAGTATTTTGAGGAAGGTATGAGTTGATAATATGATAAATGCTCTTTTAGTTTACAGATACTTGTTTACATTTCTGAATGAACAAAAATCATTAAACACTGACCACTTCCTCTTTTGAAGAAGTAGGGGTGGATACAACTCGATTTTTCTGGACCACATTGGCCCATATTGTTAAGAAATGCAGTGCTAAAAAAAGTTGAAAGACAGTTAAAGATTTGTTGTTACACAGGTGCTTTTCCGGAGGAATGCTACAATAATTTATGCTGATGCTGTTCCTCTATCAGTGAAATGTATCTCATGTTAATGTGATATTAGTATAATATTTTACTCAAAAAGTGGAGGATGAGTTGTCTCAGGATACAGATAGTAAAGGTGTTGGCTAATTTAAACTGAGTTGACAAGTGCTTCCTTAGTGAAACCAGATACCCTGGCATGTACAGTAGCAATACGTACTTGGTTGTTTTTTTTTTTAATTTTACTGGGTATGCATATAGTTCTTCAAGACAGCCATATTGGTATTATGGAGAACTGAAAAATACTTTGTTAAGAAGCAGAATAGGCAATGTGTTTTCTCTGAATTGTGAGAAGACAACCACTTCCACCTGAAAGCCCTGATGAGAACTTGCAGGCAACAGTTAAATCTGAATGCGCTGGTAGTCTTTATGGAATCTGAACCTCTCTCCAGTATATAGTTCTTCAAGACAGCCATATTGGTATTATGGAGAACTGAAAAATACTTTGTTAAGAAGCAGAATAGGCAATGTGTTTTCTCTGAATTGTGAGAAGACAACCACTTCCACCTGAAAGCCCTGATGAGAACTTGCAGGCAACAGAATCTGAATGCGCTGGTAGTCTTTATGGAATCTGAACCTCTCTCCAGTATTTAGCCATAGAGTAACTTTCGTTTCATTCATGGCAATGCTTAGACAGCCAAAATTAAGTGGCGTAGGAGAATGACACTGGACCTGGCAGTTTATTTAGCTTGTAAGAGGAGTAGGGTGAAATGGATCTATGGTGAAATTGAAAATAAAGCAGGTGATTGAGGTTCAGGAATTCTCTTTTCAGGAGTTCAGTGAATACAGGATGGCGAGAATATTGATATGCAGATTGTCTAAAATTTTTGCCATGAGCAACTTTACTGTTACCTCTTTTTGTGGATTTACCAGTGTAGAATATGTACCAATACGTGCCATCTTCCTTTTTGAAGTGGAAGAATGAGGAAAGATAGATAGTTACACAGTGGGCATTGTGGAATTTTTTAAAACATGATTTCATGTAAAGTTTTTTTGATTTGGAATCCCAGTAGCAGAGGAAACAATAATGGGCTTGTGAATATTGTGGGATAAAAAACGGTGTTCTGATTTTAGTATTAGACAAAATTCCAGATTAAAAAATATATAGGAGGGAAAACATACTCAGACTTATACTAACATTGTACGATTTAAAAACAGATATGGTAATAAAGTAAACAGGTTAAACAGCTAGGTCCTGACAAAGTTGTCTGGGATAGCAGACTTTCCGTGTTGTCAGCAGCTGACAAAGACTGGTCAGAATCTGGCCAGGTGATGCAGATTTCAGCATGAGTGGAAGAGTCTCACTACCTTTGCAAAATTTAGGCATACCATTGACAGAACTGACGCGTTTCCTAGTTATGGTCTATGTCTAGTAAGAACAACAGGTATAGAAAATTACAGTGAAGTGAAAACTTTTTGTGTGAAAAGTGGGAGGAATATATATAGCTTCCATGAGAGGTGGGGAGGCAGTTATGCGTGAATTAGAAGAAGAGATGATTGGCCACACTTCCTCAAAAAAGAAAAGTCATAAATAAGAATATTAGTACTCACAGAGTTGAGTATAATCAGGCTAGGGATTCTGATTGTTAAAAGGTAGCTATAATCGAACAGTGTAGTGGTTTGTCAGCAATCTGAAAGGGTTATTTTTGTTCTTGAGACTGAGCAATCATTTGGCGCTTAGAATGTTCTCCATAAAGTGAGAGAGCTTTGCTGAGTAAGACATGGGAATTAGAAGAACAGGAGATTTTTTAATTTTTTTGTTTTTAATTCTCCCTTCTGCCCTGTGGAATAGGATTTTGTTCCTTGAAATATTAAGGTTAAGAAGGGAAATTTTGTAGATGGTAACAGACCTTGAAGTTTCCCATCTCAAAATGGCAAATGTATTAACTTCCTAAATTAAGTTTATGAGATTTCAATTTGTTTATATTTTTAAAATTTACCACGTTTATATAATAAATGTTAACCACCTAAATAGATAATAGAGCAAATGAATGTTGCTTATAAAAAGTGACAAGGGATTCTGGGTCCAGTGTCTGGAATTAGATAGACAGCATTATTTTGGTACACTGCAGAGGTTGCAAATTATCTGTTGTCAACTGTGAAATCAATGAATTAGGTTCATTGTGAAAAAATTACTGTTGTAGGTTTAGTTGTAACAACATTTTATGGGTTTGTAGCTTTGGAATTTTAAAAACACTAATTAGCAGGAAAAATCATCAGCTATTGTTTCCCTGTCAATATATAACATGGGCTTCAGAGAAGTAGTTTGGTTGAGCATTTAGCATTACAGTGAATTAGCTTGCAGCAGGTGGTGTTATCTATTATCTGTGCACGTACCTGGCTTAGGAAGAATAGAACTCAATGTTTCACATTCTGTTTCTTGTCACTGAGTTGAGAATAATTGGGTGAATGAAACAGGCTGCTTGTGTGATGACCATCTTGCTTGGCTGGGCACAGTAAAGCAATGATTCTGTGTTTTTGATGTGTTTTTATGTTCATAGTTTGAACAGTACTGTTGTAAAAGTTGTCCCACTTGTAAAACATATCACATAACTGAGCACCTGACGAGGATCCCCAGTTCTCCTTCCATGTATAATCATCATGATACTGTGCATGTGTTAAAATTAAGTGCATTGAAATTCAGTTTCAAATTTATCTGCTGCCTACAGTTAGGAAATTCTAGAGTGCTGAATAACCAGTTACCCTGTTGCACAAAAAGCAATATAAGTGACACAACCATGCAACCCACTTCCTTTATTTGCAAGGTGCTATTTGTAAAATCCAACATTGAGAGTAGGGTCTGTGAAATTACCAAAAAGGGAGGAAAGACAATATTGACTAATGTTTTTAAATACATGGAACTTTCTGTGTCTGGCTTTATGTTCATTTTATTGATGATATAAACTGTCAGTTAATAGAAGATGAATGTAATTCTGCAAGATCTTTAGCTATGAGATAGAATTAATTTAATTTTTGATACTCTCAAAAAAAGTCTACCCAAGAAACCAAAAACGTATACTTATGTTCTTTGTTAGGCGTTAGGACTTGAGGAGTTTTCTTTCAGCTCTCTCATTGCTAACTGTGGGCAATATCAATACATGTATTTTAACAATACCGTTTATTTTGGTTCTTCTGATGTGTTTCTATATAGATTTGCTTTTCCCCTCATTGATGCCCATAGTGACGCTGAGTAGTGAAGTATCTGTGGAGGCTTTCCTTTGAAGAAGCTTTATGCTTATTTAAATCTTTTTCCCTAAAGCCCAAATGTCTAGTATCTCTGAAAATGTTTTCTGTGGCATTTTTCCAAGTATATGGGATACTTTCTTGAGAACTGCTAAGATTTTCTGGATTGTCAGTACTCCTTATTTTTCATGTTGAAATTCACTTTTCTGTTCTTATGAAAATTAACAGTATGGATTAGTGTAAGAGGATTCTTATGGGAAATATAAGAAGTCTATAGACAAAGT